TTGCTTCGGGAATGGGTTTGGGAAACAGCTCTCCGAGGAGGGAGTCATTTGATGGCAGACGTGATGGAGGTCTGAGCGGAATGTTCCCCAACAGTCTCGACGGACAGTTTTCCCGACACATGGGCTCTACTCACAAAAACGGGCAGTTCTATGGTCTCGGGCCCGGCATTACATCGCCCGGTCCTATAGGAATGCTGCCAACAGCTCAAAGTTTAACCCCTCCCCCCTCTCTGGACGGCTCAACAAATAGTTTAAATATGAATGCATTGAACAGTCGTATGATGTCTGCCGCTCCCGGAGCTGAAGCCAAATATATGGTGAGAAACGGAGGTCTGGGCGGCAATGTGTTCGGCCCAACGAACCCACCATTCAATAGTCGAATGTTAGCGCGAAAGTGAGTCTTTGTGTTGATATCTGTTTGCGAGTGATTTCTAAACTCTTCATTTCGTTTCACTCATAGCTCATCATTAGAGAAGTCGAGCGGAAGGAGTCGTCTGTTAGAGGACTTCCGTAACAATCGTTACCCAAACCTACAACTGCGTGATTTGGCCGACCATATCGTGGAGTTCTCTCAGGACCAACACGGCTCCCGATTCATCCAACAAAAGCTCGAGAGGGCCACACCTACTGAGAAGCAGATGGTCTTCAACGAGATCCTCGGCGCCGCCTATAACCTAATGACTGACGTGTTCGGCAATTATGTCATTCAGAAGTTCTTTGAGTTCGGAACTCCTGAACAAAAGCAGGCATTGGCTCAGAAAGTGAGGGGACATGTGCTTCAGTTGGCGCTCCAGATGTATGGCTGCCGTGTCATACAAAAAGCTTTAGAATCCATACCTCAGGACCAGCAGAAGGATGTGGTGAAGGAACTGGACGGACATATCCTGAAGTGCGTCAAAGATCAAAACGGCAATCATGTGGTCCAGAAGTGCATTGAATGTGTAGAGCCGGTAGCCCTGCAGTTCATCATTAACGCCTTTCAGGGACAGGTATGTCGTGGACTTTGATTGACGACTAGTGTTGAAGCAAATAAATTGAATCTAATCCATACGTAAAGGTGTTTGCGTTGTCAACCCATCCATACGGATGTCGTGTAATTCAGCGCATTCTCGAGCACTGCAATGGCGAGCAAACGACTTCAATACTGGAAGAGTTGCACCAAAACACGGAGCAACTGGTCCAGGACCAATACGGCAATTATGTGGTCCAACACGTCTTAGAACACGGAAGACCTGAAGACAAGAACAAAATCATTCTTATGGTCAGAGGAAAGGTGTTGAATCTGTCGCAACACAAGTTTGCGAGGTTTGTCTTTTCGTGGCTTTCTATGCACTCCATTACCGGTATTAATGGTTTCATTCTTTGACAGCAATGTTGTCGAGCGTTGTGTGACTCACGCGAGTCGAGCCGATCGAGCGCTACTTATTGAAGAAGTTTGTACTTATAATGACAGGTAAAGTAGTGTCTTGTAATAGAAATGATGACTGACTGACTGTCCCTCCCGGTGCTACAGTGCCTTATATACAATGATGAAAGACCAATACGCCAATTATGTGGTCCAGAAGATGATAGAAGTGGCCGAAACACCTCAACGCAAACTACTGCTCCAGAGGATCCGTCCACATATGCCGGCGCTCCGAAAGTACACGTATGGCAAACATATTTTGGCAAAACTTGAGAAGTTTATGATTAAGAGCAGTTCAGATCTCGGCCCTATCGGTGCTCCGCCTAACGGCTCG